GGTGGAGGTAGATTGAGGCGTCTGAAGAAAATTTTAAGGAAGAAGAGATAATATTAGAGGATGCGGGAGGGATTTAGGTGAAAAAAAACATATAAGTAGCAGATATAATTTGTGCAGCTTGGTAGGAAGAAGAATGAGAAAAATTTAATTTTTATGTTAAAAGTAAAGTAACTTAAAGTTTTAACAAAGTGAATTAATATTTCTAAGGTATAAATAGAAGACGGTAGTTGTAGGTTTAATTGGTTATTTCATTTTTATGTATTTTGGCAATTAAGCGTATACATTTAAGTTATATGGTTAACACTCCTGTAGAATTTAGAATTTTTATGTATGGATGTATGTAAATAACTTAATCTTCTATCTTCTATATATATAAAAATGAATTGCTGTTCGTTAGTCACTCTAAAACTCGATAACGGCTGGACCGATTTGGCTAATTTTGGTCTTGAAGTATTTGTGGAAGTCCAGGGAAGGTTTAAAAGGTGAATAAATATGAAAGTTGTTAACTATCTTTCAGATTATTTTTATGTAGATTGATAAATCTTAAGTTTTGTCAAATTAAAATTCTGAACGCAACCATAATATTTGAAATTTGTCAACTAAGTTTATTTTATACAAAAATTTAGGTCTTTTATATATCGATTGGGGCAGTACGAAGTCTGCCGGGACAGCTAGTGAATAATAAATTTTCTATAGTTGGGACGATCAAAATTAGCAAATTATCTGTGAGAATGGACGTATCTTCTGAGTAGTAGTACAAAGTGCAAAGAGAAAACCGGATAATAACAAACGGTGCAGCGGTTAGAGGTTGTTTATCTACGCAAAAGATCAGGGTCGACTTTATAACTGCCTGGTTGGAATTACATCTTTAACTAAACGTCTTTGCTCTCCTAAATTCCTGAAAATGTTGAACCTTCTTTAAATACTGGCAACATTCTCAAATTCTAGTTGTCTACATCTCGTTCCGTTACACATCAATTGGTGTAATGTTATTCCTCTTTCTTGATTAGTGTCCGCTGCAATTCCTACCTGACATCTCTGTTCTATGTTCTTTTAGCAACCGCTCTAGTTTCAACGTCTCAACTATACCCACTAATCCCTAAGAAAAACAACACATTTTCAATGGTTAGCATCAAAAAATGGAGTATACCCGATCATCTGGCTTCACTTTCTGCGACAGTCCGGTATGAGTGTTGCGAGCTTCTCTCTTTCGTGGCCTAAAATGAAGACTGCCTTCATATACCTTCTGGATGGTATTCAGACTAATTTGTGTAATAATTTTTTATTTTATGCGGTATAGGTTGGTAGGACAATTTCTCAAGCTTTAACTCACGATAGGAAAGAGTGGAGGTAGGTGTCCAACCACTCTTAGCGCCGGTGCACACTTGCGGCAATCGCTGCTGCGGCACCGCAATTGCGGCTTAAAGTACTAACAGGTAAATGGGTTAATGCACATTCATCTGCGCGCCTCCGCGGGGCCGCGCGTCCAAATGGCGACCGCGACCGTTTTGAACCGCAGGTCCCTACGGGACCGTGGCGGCACCGCTGCCGCTATTGCGGTTTTGTAGTACTCGTTTGTATATCGNTTACTACTAGTGTTAAATAAAACGGTTATATATATATTTAAATTAATAAGGGCGCCTTGCGACACAAACTTGTATAAATCACTATTTATGACAGTAAATTTCATTCATCATTCGATGATAAAATTTGAGCCATATTTCTAACGCCCAACAAAAGTTTTGATCATAAATTAATAATGACTAATGTCCGAAGTCAGTAATAATTTACCACAATCCTGAAAGGAAACCGGAATAAATTATTCATATTATTCTTTGTTAATAGTCCACACAAGTCCTAATGCACTTTCGAAAATGTGCTTAATAATCGCTCAAACAAAAAGATTCTAGTAATTTATTAAAGAAGCTCATCGATCAGATTTTGATTAACATTGACCTCAATTATTATGAATGAAATAAAAACATTACAAAGCTCTTTATAAATTAAGTTGAATTTAAACGAATATAAAAGTAGCATCGTTAAAACCAGTAACTTCAATCTAAGTTCTAGTTTAGTAAATAACAAGAAAAGAACAATCCTATGAAACAAAGGACAAAGTGTGACGACACTTAGAAATTTATTGTAGAACATCGCTTTTCAATTAGAGAAAAGGTTGTAAAACAGACTTTTTAAGCCATCGTACTTGCAATAACGACACATTTATTCAGCGTATAAACTGTTTCCTGTCACGCTATTTGTTAAAAATAAAAATTTAGTTCTCACTTATTCTACATAAGTACTTTTGAGAATAAGAATGTCCAGTAAATGACTTTTTTAGAAGCTTTTTCATTAAATTCTTCATGTACATAATGGGAAATTAATACTGAATGTTTTGTAATTCACTTATTTTTTCGTATTTGGAAACAGTTTCCATTCCATAAGTAGAAACATAAATTTTACGACTTTGGTTCTTAGTTTTATGATGTAATTTCGTTTCGAAATAATGTCGTTTGGGTAGGAACGCACGCATTCGGTGGATTACAATACTTTTACAGCCGCGTTGTCGCTTGATTCCGCGCGACGCGATGTGTCGCTTCGCAGTAGTTGTTCGCGTACACGCCAGGGAATTACCCGATCATCCTGCGCCTGCTGCGACCACATGTTCCAAAATGTGATTCAATTCTTACACGGAGTGAAAAACAATTTAAATACCTTCGGACAAGACATGTAAGAAGGACAAATTTATTTATCTCAACGAAAAATACGTTAAATTTAAAATTAGAAGATTATGTACGCTATTCTTTACGTTTTCGTTTGGCTGGTATGTCTGCGTGATATCTTAAATTTTGAACAATTTATGGATTCGTGATGTTTTCCTTTTTTCGGGGTCCTTTGTTGGGATGACACTTATAAATCCTTGTGCAAACAATGGACGTGTGTTTACAAATGGTCTCAGCAAATTTGAATTTATCACGTCGACATACGCAATATATGCATTAAGATGAAATATCTGTTTGCAGTTAAAAAACGAAAAGTTTTTTACTAGACTCTTTTTGAGCAGATTCTTAACTTGAAATTTAGATACCTACACATTGAAAATATTAAAAAATCGAGATTAGTAGACTCAATGTAGTAGTTTTACTAAAATTATTTATTGTGCTGGTGTAATAAATACTCTTGATACTGATTACATAAATCGAAATCGAAATCAAAAATTTTTATTCAAGTTTCACAAAAAGTTTAAATAAAATCTGAATGCTTCTGAAATAATTAACTAAGGACGATTTGATAAACATTTTTACGTCTGTTAAAATTTCCTTCCCCTGGGAAATTCCTCCACATCGCTCTTGACGCTTCTAACTTCGAGGAATACGATAAAAGTTGTAAAGTTTCTAATGCGTATGCATATGTATATATATCCGATCCATGAAAAGGATTTATCAACATTTAAAACTGCCATTTCTCATGTACTCCGCCATCATTATCCCTTAACTTTACCTTAGAAAAAGAAAACTTAAAATAGGGGCTCACGGTTACAAAACCGTTTTGTTTTATTGCTAACAATTTCCAGAAAACATTATTTTGGTTACAAATGATAATGGGGTTTTTTAACAAAAATATTTTGAGCCCAGGTAAAAGTTTGTATACCAAATAGGCCATTTATAATACATTTAAACAGTGTGTCCCAAAAACTTTACTAAATAATCTAGGTGGACCATACGTATTCAACTTTATAACGTACCGACTTAGTTCCATCTTTTTATTAAATGAATAAGAACGGATTAAGTTTTTGGTCAGTTACTTATTGAAATTACTAGACGTAGATCATCTTTACAATCTTATTTGATCTCATCAGCACGGCATAGGTAGTGACCGCGGAAACAAAAGTTTTCGGATTCTTGATTGCATTGATTCATGACATTTCTTGACGTTTCGGCAATCATCATTATCTTACTGTTGTTAATGAGTACCTATATATTTTAAAATTCGAGAATATTTTGTTTCCAAAACTTCCATGCTTAGCTGCAAATGTGCTGATTGTTAGTTCAATCTCACACTTTTGTTCAATTTTTAAAAATGTGTTACCACAAAAAGCACTAATCGAAAATTCATCTCTTAAATTGCGACTTCTTCAGCTATTTGTATCAACTTTCGCGGTAATCTATCGGTTATTATTACGATATTAGTGACCACGATAAAAATTCGTTTAATTTTTTTCTTAAGCGAAACAGGGTAAAGCTTTTAACAAGTCATCAATCAAATGCTCCCATTGTTGCTTCTAATAGTCAGCCAGCAATTTAGCATCATAATTTGACTTCAGCATTTCATAACAAGTCTGGTAGACTGCTTGACGTTATGATTCGTATTTAGTAAATAGAAACATACAGTAAAATAATCTTTTTCATCGGGAGTTTCTTAATTAACATTATCCATTTTTTCATGGCGTTACATTTCTAAAATTTTGGTGAAAACTGCATCTAAATCGGTTGAGAAATAACCAGATAGTTCTTCTTCGAAGTTTGTTTCATCTAACTTTTTAACCGAACAACAAAATGGCCACCGGCACAATAGCCAATCAGATGCACCTAAAGGGTGTATATAAGAATGAAGCTTGCATACATAACTTAGTCACCCGAGATGCACTGTAGGGTGCACTTTATTGCACCACATTCTCGATTAAAATTACTTAAAAGCCTATAATTATTACTTGATGATTGGAAACTGAAAAATACGGTACCTAATTATTTTATCTATGTATATCTATACATATAAATAATTTTTTTAACTGTCTGTACAGAAAAAAAGGCATTTCTCATTCTTCAAAACGGCTGAGTCGATTTCCATGAAACTTGACAGACATTTCCAATTGTTTATTGGTTATAATAATTGTTGGTGTTTATTATAATCAAATGGAAATAGTTTCACGTGGACTACGATATTTTTTTGAATAAATTGTTAATATTTATTAATAATAAATTTCAAAAATGTGTGGTTTATAGTTTTCAGAAGCATGTGAAAAATGCTTCAGACGTAGATTACCCAGCTTATGGGGTAACTGGACCAAATAAAGAAATCTCACCATCAAGTGGTGATAGGAGACTCGCTCAATCCGCTCAGATGTATCATTATCAACACCAAAAGCAGCAGATTATTGCAATGGAAAGGTATTTAGTTTAAAAATTTTATCAACAGAAATTTATCTTTTTTGTCATGTATAAATCTTTTTTTTATTTATTAAAAATTGTACTGATTGATTTTAAGTCCTCAAAAGATATCTACTTTTATCTTATCTAAACCGACTGAGTATAAAATAAGAAAAGTGAAGTGAAAAGAAGAACGAGGACACAAAGTATAGATAAATAATTGATCTGTTTTTTAGAGCTGCTGCCACTGAACGACATGGTTCAATATCTGAGGCGGATAGCGATGAAGAAAATGAGGAGGGTGATTACACAGTATACGAATGTCCGGGTCTAGCTCCAGTAAGTGATAATTTGATCGTTAATATTTAATATTCCACAATAAAGCTTAACGTTTTTCCAAATTTATTTAATTTCAACGAATTTTCTACTACTGTTTCAAACTGAAGAGCTATTAGAAAGACTAATAATAGAACAAAAGGCGCTATCGAAATCAATAAAAAAGATTAGAAATAGTATAGTTCTGGGACATGAAGGGATAGTTAAAAACATATTAGATGTAGAAGCAGGAGTAAATAGGAGGAGGAAGACCTAGATTAGATTCCAGTTCGAAAATAGTTAAATTTTTAATATAAGCGAACATTTTGTTTGTTTATTAGTCTCCGGTAGTCTGGCATAATTTATGTGCTTTCACATTATGCGAGGTTTCGTTTATGCAATGTTCACACTATCGATTGTCTACTGTATAATAATTAATAATTAATAAAAATCAACTATGGTTTTAGACTGGTGAAATGGAAGTTAAAAATCCTCTATTCCAAGATGATCCCACCCCTGCTCAAACACCAGCAGTGAAGAAAGAGGATGAAAAAAAGTGAAATTTGAACAAGCTGTAGCTAATATACAAATCCTGAACTACTGCTACTACTGTTAGGATACAAACTGCAAGATATTTATGTTTGCGTTAATTCTATAGTATCAATTTTATTATGATAAATTAAAAGCATGTACCTACACAAAAAAAACCATCCTAGTAAATGAACCATTTATAATACATTTAAACAGTGTGTCCCAAAAACTTTACTAAATAATCTAGGTGGACCATACGTATTCAACTTTATAACGTACCGACTTAGTTCCATCTTTTTATTAAATGAATAAGAACGGATTAAGTTTTTGGTCAGTTACTTATTGAAATTACTAGACGTAGATCATCTTTACAATCTTATTTGATCTCANTTAATTTATTAATTTCGATTTTAGCTGCTTTCAAAATAATAAAGTCTTGGTTACCAGAAAAGGCATTAGAAAGATTAAGAGTAATTAAAAAAGCAGATTTAAGCGAATTTGTAGATCCTGATCAGGCTATGCGATCTTGGGGTGGAATTAACGATTATGTTTTTAGTTTTGTTCCTGAAACTCGAGACAATTTGCCAAGTAGCACGTTAAATAGAAAGGTAAGAAAATTTTATAAGAGTAGAGTAGAGCAATCAACAACACCCTCGTGTAATTGAGTACATGAAGGCGTATATGTTAGCAAAAGAGACTTTATAGGATGCCCCAACATTAATGTATTTGTAAGTATATAATGCTGATGTTAAAGACACTTTTATTCTAGTATTTTTAAATGTTAGACTATACATGGTAAGGCATAAGTAGTACAATATCCAAATTTTAGTTATCAAGTTAATTAAAACAAGAATGAGGCTCATAGTTTTGTAGAATTTTGATTTTACCCCTATTGTTTATGTATTTCAATTATATCTGCGATAAATATTTCTACAACTTCTGATCTAATCAATAAGTGCTGAAAGTAGTTTATATAAATTTAGTCTGTACAGATTCTTAGTAATTGACAATTAGATAAAAATGTGTTTACTGGTTATTAAACTTCTGGGATTTTGTCATTTTTTATCTGTTTTGTCAACTTTTTAACTTAGTGTCAGATTATTAGTTTGATTATCAAAATTGTTTTTAAATTCTAATATATCCTACTATTATAAAGAGCTGTAAAATGGTATTTAATTTTGGTTACAATGACAGAAATTTTAGGGAGACCTCAGGGTCAGCCCTAGGAAAGTTAAGTGAAATCCTAGTACATATTTAAATTAGCAATCAGTTAATTTAACGACCTCGCCAAATCGAAAGCATTGTGACCTGCCTAAAAGATATTTTTTAATAAAATAATGAAAATAAACATTTGGCATTTAATAAGTGGTAGACTTTCCCTGACATTGATTTAGGCCCATCTTTCTGACCTAAATACGACCTTTTTGTAGTAGTATCCACAAATAGCTCATCGAAACGAACGTGAAGTAATTTCTTTTGACCTTTAAGGGCTATGGAGGAAATAGAGTTCATTATAGATTTTGTGTCAACCTACTTATTGCTATTTTAACTGAAGGCTATTTTCACTTTTATAGGTACACTTTGCCGATGGGTCCCCAGTAATTGATACATCGTCGGTCGATTTAACTGGTAAGTTATTATTATTATGAACATTAAGCATGCGCATAATGCACGCCAATAAAAGCCACCAGGAACGGACAAACTACTTATTAATGTTTTTGAATATAAATATAACTTATTTAAAACTAATAGAACCATTAGACCTTAACTATTTGATATAATTAAAGAAATACACATTTATGTGAATCCTTGTATTGTAAAAAATAGAAACAGAAACGCAGTATTTACTTTAGAAAATAGTTACTACCCAGTCCGCCCCTGAAAATAATTTAGTCATTTTTTATTTTTATTAATTGTCTGCTAGCTCAGCTGAGCTGTATGTTACGTGTCCAAAACAATAGATATTGTATATTATTAAGATATCTTGTTATTATCTTGTTATACTCCAACGTCTGAGCATCACAAATTGATAGTAGATGAGGTGGAGTGGTGGAGGTTACACATCATAATTATTACATTATCGGACTTATTAAAATAAATACCTTTTACATTAAATACTCCAGTTGGTGTTAAAATTACTATTTAGCAGGATCCCTTTATGTGTACGTAGCTTTTTGTTTGTGTAACAACCATAGACAAGTACAAACTATTACGAATTAATAAACAAGTGTTATTGGTGTAATTATACTTCACTGTATTTATAACAACATTAGAAACAGGTGGGGGTGTATTTTGTTGTAAGTTAAAAATACAGTCTTATCTGTGAATTGAACTTTGGATGCAACTTGTGGACTATTGTAGCTTTAAAAAATATTGAACAATTAAACACACAGTTACTCCTTATCAATATTAACAATGCCTTTTCCACAACCTGAGGTACCAGCTAATTTAATAGAAGAAACAAGGGCAGCTTTCCTAAAGGAATTGGAAGCTCGAGGTGAATCAGGTAAAAAATTTTTGTTTTTGTTGTAGTTAGTTATGTATTTAGACAATTCTATTGAATATAGGTCTAGCACTCGATGTAAGTATATTTAAACCATTATTACACTTTTTAAGCAATTCATCCTAATGACATTGAGAAAGTAAAGAAAGATGATTTCTATATTAAACGTTTCCTAATGCACCATGATGTTGACATGAAAGCAGCTTTAGGAATGATGTGGGAGGCTCTCCTGTGGAGAAAGGAGTTTGGGACAAATGGTAAAACGCATTTTACTATTGTTAAAAATTGGTCTAAGTGATACCTTTTTGATATAGAGTTAACTGAAGATAATCTTAAAATGGACCTAGTTATAGAAGGAATATTTTATATTCCTGGAAGGGATAGGGATGGACACCCCCTTTTTGTTTTTAACTGCAAAAAGCACACAAAAGGCAAAAATGTAGAAGAGATAAAAAAGATTATTGTCTATTGGATAGATAGATTAGAAAGGTTGATAATGTCTTATTTATTTTAGATTTTTTATTTTATAAAAACATATTTTAAAATAATTTGAAATACTGAACGTATTGGGGAGTTCGCGAGTG